CCCCCAAAAAAAAAATAATAATGTAAAGTCTAAAAGAATATAAAAGTTGCATGCAAAAGGCTTCAGGGCGGCAGTGCAAACCCATATCAGCGAATACAACTTTTCAAGAAACTTTTAGTTTGTTTTAAGAACAGACCATTTACATCATAATTGGATAAACTAATTAAGTCTGCAATTAATCTCCTATTCGACTTTTTAGAGTATTGATTTATGATGCATTCCTCGCACGTTATTCCATTAAGAAAAAAACACTTTTTTCTTTTTAAGAGACTGATAAAAAAACGAGTTTCAATCATCTTTTGGATCCCGGCAACCTCTCAATTACCTTTCAGTAAATCCCCTCTTTGTATTCCTTTAGTACATCCACTCTGTGAAGCGCTCGCTCCAAAAGGCGCAGCGAGGGTCCTTTTTTTGTTTTGTTGCAGCGGCTGTAATCCTCAGAGATCCGGCGCTGCGAGAGCATATGTGCGACCCTCTGTCCGCATCCGCGACCGTCCTCGCAACTGCGCTCCAGCTAAGCGACCTGTAACTGATTCAATGTTACAGTCCTCCTCCCTCCCCTCCCCCCCCTCCCTCCCCCCCTCCCTCCCTCCGAGAGAAAAAAAAGTAATCATCTGGCTCAAAGTAAATAACTCTCAGGAAATGACACCCCTCCTTCTCTTCTCCCCCCTTTACAGCGCTGGACCCCTTTTCAAAATAAGAGTCGTTTTCTTTTAGTGGGGGATCTGCAGACACGCGGAGAAGAACAGCTTTTTAATGTTCTTTTTTTAAATAATTTGGGTGCAAGAACTTTTTTGTCTGAACTGATGCTGCAACTTTTCTTAACTTCTTGTTTTGTGAGTGCAAACTGTTTATAAGTCATTTTTAACGAGCGGGGTAACCACATTACAATGCAAATGTGCGCTTTTCGTGCAACCCCCCCCCCCCCAAAAATAGAAACTTATTTTCTGCAAGATGCACGGCAGCTCAGCCAGTTTCTTGTAGCGCATCAAAGTGGGAACAGTGGAGCGCTGCACTCATATAGAGGGCGCTCCAACACCATCACAGCGCGAGCCAGACCCTCACACACACACACACACACACACACACACACACTTCTCCCTATGTTATTGTTCTTGAGAATTGCATTGAAAGAAATGACACCATCCGGGTAGTTGTTGTTTTTTCCTCAGAATGTGAAGCACACATGTGACCGTCAGCTGTTTACCGAGTCCTGCTCCACAGCCGTTATTATTAGTATTCTCTCTTTCTTTATTATACGGACACCCCGGGGCCCTCCTGCCGGGCAGCAGGAGGATAAAGGGCCGCTATGAATCACCTATCTGTGGGCAGAGAAGAGGGGCATCAGACCGGTGTGTCTCTGCATTAGCAGAGCCCTGGGGCCGAGGATCCCCCCCTGCCCCCCTCCCATGCAGCCGTTTGTTGCAATTACTTCCACATGTTGCCCAAAAGAACAGTGTCCTTGTTCTCTAAAACAAAGGATCTCAGCAAAGCAAAGCTTACTCACTATATGGATCTCATTTTAACACCTTTTTTTTCTGCCCCCCCCCTTAATTTAAATTGTCTTGAGGTCCATTAGATCTTACAGACAGTGTTTTTGAGGCCAACATGTATTCACATTCTTCTTGTTGTTTTCATTACATCCAGCACGATGAAGGGCAAATATGTAATATGTGGCGTCACACACACTTTAAAACACCACAGAGTTCATTGAACATAATAAGTCATTAAACCTGGAACAGTCTACAGGCTTCCAACTAAATATCACTGAGAGGTTTGCTGAGTCATGACAGGTGTGTTGTTGTCTAAAGATGACGAGGCAAAAACACTGTTTTTCATCACTGATCAGTTTTGAACAACTCGTCTTCTTTCAGACTAGTGGAAATAAAACGTTTATTTTACTACTTTGTCTGTTTGCATCTGTAGATTTCTCCTAAATTCACCAAAAGGTTTTCAGAAAACATATACAATAAATAATTGTCTTAACGTATGTATTCAGCTGGTGAAGTTTCATGTGATAGCTGTTAAACATCTCCCTCATTCACCCGTAGTGTCTGTCCTTAAAAGGTTATTTCGTAAATATCCAGCTGATGCTCTGACTGGAGGCAGAAGCAGCTTTAAACTCCTCTCAGTCAGTCACAATGTTGAATCAAACACACTGCTCTTCACCAACAGCTCCTTCCTGGTGACTCTGACTGTCCACCAGGGGGCTTTGAACAATATAAACAGCAATCTGTGTCCGAATAAGTAGATTATATGTTCAAAGGGGATTCATCAAACAGCCGTTTAAAACCCAACAGATTGAGCGTGAATAAGATCACTTCGGCTCACGCTTCGTCCTTCCTGTGTCAAAACATGGGCCCTGAATCCGTCAGTGAGAACATCCTGACACGCCTCTGTGTTGAGGATACTCCTTCATTAAACGTGTGAGCATTTGGTTGGAGCTCAGCAGGTTTTTGTTGTTGTCTAAAAGTTGTTCTTCAGGTCAAATATGAACCAATATAGATGTATTTCTCTCAATCTGTGACTTTTAAGTCTGTGATTCATCCAACACACCGGTTTGATTACACGTTAACATACAACCTGAGAGGAGGAGGAATCCACCGTCTGTCTGTCTGTCTGTCTGTCTGTGGTCCTGGTAGGAGCTGTCCATTGTGCTGAAACGTTCTCTCAGTCAAAGCTTCACTGACTCGTATCGATTCATCTCAATAAATAAAGAAACAATAAATAAATAAATATTATTTTTGTTTTCAGGAGCCTTGACCTCCATGAAGCATGAGGACCGGAGAGCAGCTCAACGGACTCCTGGTGAGTTTTTATAAACACTCCATATCAAATTAATTCATGAATACAAGTGTCATAAAATGCTTAGATTCATATTTTATTGGACCAGTTTTAACAGATTTAAACACAAACTGTGTTTAAATCTGAACAGATAAACACATTTCTGAGTCCAATCATAAAAACTAATTAGCCAAATAAACAAAAAATTAATAAATAGTAGAACTCCTCCCTGTTTATGAATGACCCTGACCTGCATGGCTTCTGCAAAGATTCACGTTTACTTGACTTTTACTTTGAAATGGTCATACACACACACACACACACACACACACACACACAGGGGTTGGTTGGATGCAGCTATTTTCTGGTCACAGAAACAAAAATATGATAATCCCTAAATATTTGCTCTCTTGACCTCCACTGATCAACATGTTCAGTGAAACTGGTCTGTGGACTAAACGTATAATAAAGTTGTCTTGGTAACACATTACTTCAGTATTAATGTAACTTACTGTATTTGAAAGATTACAAATGTTTATATTGTTAGTTCATTATTATTTTTGATAATAATTAGACACTCCTGATACATCGCCTAAATGTTGTGTTTGGTTTTGAAAATGTTGCAGCGGTTCCATTAAGTCGTGTTTTCTGCTCTTGTTTAAATTAAACTTCATTTTCTTTTCTAACTCATTTGAAGCACATTAAGACCAACCAAACCCCAGAAAACATCTGTGTAAACAATGCGTATTTAATAGCTGAGACCTGAAACTTATGAATATTCTGACATGAGTGGAAGGTGTGTCACCGACCCCGGTCTCCCCAAACCTACAAATCAAATGTCACACATTGGTTTGGTCCCCAAACGATGAAACCTGTTTCTAGATAAACAGCAATATGCAGGTCAAATCTGGCCTCTTGGCTCCTGGGAAATGTAGTTCATTCTGTTCTGAAGACAGATCTTGCTGATCCACATCTCTACCCATGAAGGTTCATTAGTAAAGTGAAACGTCTCTTTAGGGGGGAGAAAAAAAGAGACAACTTTATTTCCCCTCTCTTTCCACACCGGCACTTCAGCTTCTTCCAGCCTCCATCTCTCCGCATGAGACAGCAGCTGCAACCGGCTGAAAAGCGCCTCTTATTAATTGTCTTTTGTCATGCGTAATTGCCACATTTTCAATGGTTGGTCCGAGGCCCTGACGAGAGAGAGCGCGCGAGGTCTCTGTGCAGCGCCTCTTTCATCTGACATTTCACATCTCGCGCACACTTTGCTTTTGCGTTATTTCTATTTATTTTGAGCGGTTTGTGTTTGATAAATGTGATCAGAAGTTTTAAAGTTTGGGGACGAATAGATCCACTCTCATAAATGAGCTCCAGCGCCATTTAAAGAGGCGCGAGGTCGCGTCCTGATGGGGCTGAGAAGAGGGGGGACAGTCCGCGCTGCGTTGGTGTTTCACACCTGCAAGGGAGCTCTAATTCGATTAATAGGAACTTCAATATATATTCATTAGGTGGCTCCCCCCCAAAATAATATACGATCACCAGCGGGATTGTGAAAGGGGACCATTTATTCCCCGCTCTGAATGGGTCCGCGTGGGACCCAAAAAAAACTTCACCTGCTTCCCCTCTCAATTAGGAATGTATCCCAAACTCTGACAGAAACGAGTTAAATTAGGCGTCCGCTAATTTTCCAGCGGCCCCTCCCACGTAATCCCCCCCTCGGAGTCTTTTCCCCTTCGAGCCCATGCCCCCCCCCCCCCCTTACCCCCTTTTAATTCACCATAAGTTGAAAGGTTCAAATAGTGCCTAATGAAACAGTGACTAAATCGTCCTCTGTCGCTCGGAGGAACCCTGTCGCTGTCTCTCAAAGCGCTCTGAGCGCGCAAGCCGTCGGGGGGTCTCCAGGCTAAATGCGGGTCCCAAAGCAGGACAATCTAACCTGTCAAAGCCCTTTGCCCACTTCTATATATCCCCCGTTCTCTGGGCTTTTCTCTCTCTCTCTCTCTCGAGCCATGGCGGCATAATCAACCGACGTGGGACCGAAAAACGCAATTAAACTCGCTTTGGACGGCGCAAATCTATTCAAAAGTGAACATTAATGGGGAGTATTGGCTGCTCCCCATGGGGGCGTTATTGGCTACCCTTTTTGTGGGCCGACCTAAGGAGACATTACAGCTACACTTGGAGCTGTGTTAAATATTGTTTCGAAATGAATAAAAACCATAATGACAGCTTAATAATAGCTGTCCATTAATGGAAATGTTTTCTCGTAACGTCTCTGGAAGATATAACTGCCCTTAATGTGCAAAACCCCTCAGCTTTTACGCACGACTGGCCAAAAAAAGTAGCAATGTATAATATAAGGCTAATAATAGCTGTCAGTTTTTAAAGATTGAGTTGTGTTTGCATAATTTTAAAAGGTTTTTTACATATTTACGTTTTTTTCCCAGTATATCTCTACTATGGGACCAGTGCTTCCTGGTAATGAATGCGTCATCATAAATTGATAATAATGATAATAATAATGCCTCATAGTCTTTTGCAGAGTATTTATTTTGAAATGCAATCATGAAGAACTTTTATTTCTGTGCCTCATTTGAATTGAAGTCTCTCAACTTGCAGTGATGCAAAAACACATATAATCATATATATTTTTGTCAAATTCTTAATGATTCGAATATTTGTGTTTTTAGATCCTTCATCTGTCAAAACAATACACTCACAACTTCTTAGGTCAACTCGTCATGTTTATTACAATAAATACACATTATACATAGTTTACAAATGGTTGCGTACAGGGCTCCACACAGGTTCGGCCTGTGCTGTGTCTATAAGGGCTTTTCATCGGGCGATGGTTACAAACACTTACTGGGGTTATGTGGGCTAGACCCGGGTCTGTAGGCGAGAACCCGGAAAGGGGTCAAAACACGTCATCGTTACGGCACACAGTAGGTCATGTTTCCCGAGATTTCACCACAGCGTTAAAACACGTATTCACATTTCATTCCTTTTTTAAATTTAGAAGCAGGATAAACATGAAACGGATATTTTAAACACTTCAGTTTTCATGCAGGATGTTTTTTTCTGGGGGGCCCAGAGGTAACCTGATGCCCATAAAAGTGCCAGGCAGCAGCGGGGGTCTGGTCCCTCTCAGATGGGCGACACCTCTTTCTCCTCCGACGCAGAGGCCGGAGACAGAGACTCCTCGTCCTCCGACCTCGAGTAGTCCGTGAGGCCGCTCGTGCACTTGCAACCGCTGCTGTGCGCGCTCCTCTGGGTGGCTTTGCCCTCCTTCTTGTGCTTCACCCTGCGGTTCTGAAACCAGATCTTCACTTGCTTCTCCGACAGGCTCAAGTACGTGGCGATTTCGATTCTCCTGAGTCTGGAGAGATACATGTTCGTGGAAAACTCCCTCTCAAGTTCCAGGAGTTGCGTGCTCGTGAACGCCGTGCGCATCCTCTTGCCGTTCTGTATGTGGCTGTTGTCGGAGGCGCCTGTTGGAGTAAGAAACATATACAGTCAGACGTTTAGCTTTTTATTATCACAAAAAACTCAAATCAGATGCAAATGGCACAAAACATCGCGCGTAAATCCTTGTGCGTAAAAGCCGAGCGTTTAGTTTACAACTAGCTGAATGTGTAGCTATCGAACAGGTGGCTTACCAATAGAAAGACAGTGGTATCTCCTCGGGTCTGTGACGCTGAACGTGGGCGTGCAGACAGGTGTGTGTCCCGGGTGCGCGAGTGCAGGAGACTGCTGATGCGCTATCCTGTGACAGTACTGCGCCTCCACGCCCGGAAACTGACTCTTCAGCATGGGAATGCCGCTGCGGGAAGAGTGGAGGTGGGACGTGACGCACAGCGGGCAGACGCAGAAGGTCCCCGTCTTCCTGGACGGGCACAACGGAGAGGTGACCGTCATGACGCTTGGAGAGTGCATGCTGATGGGGATGAGGAAGTCCTGTCCCGGATGCTCCACCGGTCCGGGTCGAACTGCATCTTTGATTATTAAAGAATCGACGTAAAAAGACCTCGACATGGCTGCGCCGCTGATAAGTGATCTCTCCGCTCTCAAGGTGATGGCCGTTTCTCATCTGAACCCCCTCGGGATCTCCAAAGGTGCTTATGTTTGATGGTTCAACAAAAGGGACCCCGAAGAGGGCTGGCCCTGTAGCGTCACCCACGTGCGCACCCGGCTCCGAAGGGTTTACACTGTCAGCGACCCAAACCACGTGATGTCTCCCTGGGCCTCCAATCACAACTTGCAGATTTTTCTCTTTTTTCTTTTCATCCCCGAATTTAGGAAAGTCTTGTGCACTGGAATAATACAACCAGATACATTAAATATATATATTTAAATATGTCCTAATGAACTATGTAACTTCATCAGACACAATAACTGAACCATCTTTCTGAAATGATGCCACAAAAACTAAAGCTTTAAAAACTTGTTTTTTCCACACACATGCTGCTTGTTTTCATGGTGTTTGATTTGGGATTCATAGGATTTAGAAAAAATAATTCTGAGTTGTAAAATATATTTAGAAATACCTCCATCACTTCAAAATATAAAAGAAATACACTAAATACATCGGATGTGCTGGAATGAGCTGTTGTAGCAGGTGCAGTGGAAACAGAAACATATCTGTTTGTATCTTATAACTTCACTGTTTACATTTACAATATTCATTTGTTTTTCAATAAAAATGTGTTTATTCTTAACGTGACTTTGTAATAAGTCCAAAGCAAAAGCTATATGATGGAATCTATCCAGACCTTTTATTTTTTAGATTAATTTCCCCTAAATGCGATTTAAGGAATTGTGCAGGCGACCACATAAACACTAATTGCCCGATCGTTCTCTGAATCCGGTTGGTTCAGCTCTCGCTCGCGGCAATTAAAGAATTATGAACCGATGGAGAAGTCTGCGCCGCGGTCATTCGATGGCGATTAGGATTCAATTAGAAAGTGTTTATAAAGGCCGGCCTGTGCGGAGGGTAACCAGGCAGCTATTCCAGAAATGCGCTAATCCCTCATCTTGTGACGCTAATTAGCGAGTTTGATCCCCCGGGCGGGTCACCGGTGGGTTTAGCTTTCATCTCGCCAAGCAACGCCTCGGACCTTCAGACGGAGGTGAGCCGTCCGCGGGCTTCTGCTACGTTTAAACGGTTCGTTTTCTCCTCCGACCCCGGGGAGACAAACACAAGCGGAACGGGCCTGATGTGGATGCAAAGTTTGAGTTTCTATTGCACCTCCTTTTTCTTTTCTTTTTTAATAAAACCCCATCATTATGGAGCAAACTGGAGGGCGTATTGGAGTGTGCGTTAAAACGCATGCCTTTTGAAAGAATTACAAAGTCTTTAAAATCCAACCAGAGTAATGATGGAAAAAAAAAAAACATGTCTGTCACACAGACAGTAATTGCTCTAATAAAGTGAACGCAGCGAGGAAGACGCAGAGTTGTTATGGTGCAGATAACAGTCTGAAACTAGAGAGAGGGAGAGCAAACCAAGCGGAATGATGCGTGGCGCGCGCCCTCAACACACCATGCGAGCTCTAATATTATTTTTCCATAATTCTGCACGATAAAATTTCATTGTCTATTAAGTAATCCCACAAATGAGAGCCTTTATGAGGCTATAATGAGGCCTAATTGCCGGGACTAGTGGAGCCACGTGGAAGGATTTAGGAAGCGCTAAGCCGTCGGGTACAGAGCACAGGCTGTTACCTCGCCATTACTTTCATAATTCAAGGAGAAAATTAGACCATTTAAGGGAAAGAAATCCTTTGATTCCCTTTATTCTGCTCGGGGTGACAGGGCTGCAGTTTTTTTGTGGGGGGTTGAATGTGCAACAAATGGAGCCGGTGGTATATCACTCACTGTTTTAAAGGTTATTATATGAAAAAGGGAGAATTTCAGAAATGTGTAAAGCTCTCCGGGCCCCACCTCTCACTCGCCTCTTCTTTCTCTCCAACGTCCTTTTTACTTTATAGTGCAGCGGTTACCCTCCACTGTTCACCCCCTTTTCAAATCATGTTGATGGGCAATTAATCACTGGCCCATTCAATAACATGAAAATTAGATTTAAATAGCTGGATTTAAGGAGGAAAAAAAGAGAGAGGTTAATTCTCTGCAGTAGTTTAAAGTTTCTTCTCCTCAGTGGAAAACAACATTTCTAGTATGAGTTTGCATCAAAGAGAGGGAAAAGGTGTGTGTGTGTGTGTGTGTGTGTGTGTGTGTGTGTGTGTGTGTGTG